CACTGTCATCTGATCTCAGTGTGCCCATGTGACAGCCACCGGCAGGGCTCCAGCTCTCAAACTCAGGTCCTGCACTTGGAAGACAAAACATGAATCAGGTCTCAAACTCCATCAGCTCAGCTTGGTTATCAGGTGGGTCATTGCTCCTCCTTGAGCTTTGGCTCTGAAAGGAAGCTTCCTGACACCTAGGAAGCATGGCACAGCTGGTGGAAACACCAAGCAGTGCATTGCAGGTTGGTGTCACTGAACTAACCGAGGCCTGGCAGCGGGATCTATGAGCTCAGTTTAATTTCTCACATCACAAGATGAGGAATGGGGGAGCAGAAAGAACCATGTGGGTTAAGTGCTTTCCAGCAAGGCACTTCTGTAAAGCAGTTTTAATATAGCACAATTGTGATCGTGAAATTCGCCTCCGTGACCAAAGTGTTTGGTGGTTGTGGGTAAGCAGCTACTTGGCCATAGAGCAGAATCCAAACAGCCCCAGAGGCACCATGCTTTTAGTATTACTGTAGGGATGACCCAGAGCAGAGTTTCTGTCTCTCTGCTGTCCTTTCCTGCATGGTTTTGCAGTCCTGCACTGAAATTGCAAATGCTCGAAGCAGTGGAGGAAAACCAGTGAAATAATACTAATAAAGAGCAATAATAATAATAATAATAATAACTGTTGTTTGACCACACAACCGTGTTGGAACAGGGGAAGCCACTCCCCACAAGCAGAGGGTGCTGGAAAGCAGCACCCTGCGCCCTGGCCCAGGAATCAAACACGGGGAAGGCAGATGTGAACACAGACTGTTTATTTGAAATAGGGACATAAAAAGGGGATGGAGGGTGCAGTGAGGGGTGCGGATTACATATTGACAGTTAAAAAATAGGAAAATGATAGTAAAATTACAGTAAAAACGTCAGTTTGTTACAACAACAGGGGTAGAACAAAGTATAACAAAACCCAATAAATATAAATAACCATAGAACAACAAAACAAGTGCAGTTTAACAACAGTAGAACAAGAATATCAGAACACGTGAAAAACAAACATAGAACAATAAAATCGCCAATGGATCTTCACAGCCGCCAATGTTTTGCTGCTGATGGCCCAAAGGCCACTTGGCGTCGGAGCTGTCCTCCTCCTTGGGGAAGAACAAAAGCCAAACAGGGCAGGTTTAGTCACATCCACGTGCATCACCATTTAGAAGCAAGGAGCTGCTGTAACAGCTCAGCTAGAAAACCAAAGCATTCTTCCATTAAAGAGCATTTAAATATTTGTGGGGTTTCTGTAATTTAGACTCCCCCACACACACTCCCATGGCTCAGAGAGTAAAGGAGCCGGCAGCAAAGCCCTCCTGGGGTGGTGGGGACCCTGCGGGCAAACAATTTGGATCTGGGGAGGAACCCTGTCGGCTCTGGACGCCCCAGCGGGCTCCAGAGCACCCAAACATGGGGAGGGGCACCAGCAGAGAGGGGAAGAGAAGGGAGCAGAGGGACTGCCAGGGCTGGAGCAAACGTTTGCACCTTAGGAAACACGGCTAAATAAAGCCAGGGAGGAAAGGCTGCAGAGATGCAGAGATTTGCTTCTCCTGATTCAGAAGGAAGCTGCAATTCCCAGCTCAGGGCACGATCCAGCTCCAGCTCTGCCCCAGGTACCCTCCCAGAGGTTCTCCACATCACCCCCTTGGCCTTGTCTCACCGGTCCCACAAAGATAAAGCTTCCATACACTGACAGCTGTCCCCCAGGAGGAGCCACAGGGAATACCTGATCTGCTCAGGGGTTCCTCCTGACGTCGCGCTGGTGATAGCCCACGCTGCCTCCTTCCTCGTGCGGAATTCTGCTTTCTGCAAGATCTCTATCAGGACTGGGAAGATGTTTGCACCTATGACTGCCTGGGGAGAGAGCAGCGAGAAGGGCTTGAGTTGGCAACGTGAGAGAAACCTCCACCTCCATTTGTCAGTGCAAAAGAGTTTTCCAAGCTGTGCTCTTCAGCAATTCCTCAGCCAAATCCTATTACCACAAGACAGTCGGTCCCACAACCAGCCCACAGCAGACAACCCCTATTACTGCAGCAGTATTGTAGCAGCGCTCCCATCACTCATCTGCCTTTATGTAGGGCATGAAAAGGATAAATTACAACTCAACAAGATCCAGCTTTTCAGAGGGGTACCTCTAACAGAGCGGGGAGATGCAGGGGCTGTATCTGCTCCTGCTCCAATGATCTAACCTGTGGCACTCATTTCAGGCCAGACTTTGTTGGAACCATTAAAAGCTTTTCTTAGCTCCGTTGGCAGATGGCTGGGAGCAGCGAATTTGCACATTACTGCAGAATGAGAGATGTGAACAAACCCAGCCTCTGACTGCCAGGGAAAAAAGCTGAGAACCCTTAATGCTGAGCTTGGAATTGAGCTTCACTGCAGGTGGGTTGGAGAAGACCCTATCTGTATCTGCGCTCTGTTTCCTGCTGTGATGTTGGATATAGTCCAGCAGGCTTCTGTCCTGTGTGATTCCTTGGAACTACTTAATAAGTGAAGGAGACAAGGCAGGGCTGAACAGTTCAAAATCACCTTTGGAGAAAGAGAGCAGAAGTGAGATCACCAGTGTCAGGTCCAGAGCTGGAGCTGGGCACAAAATGAAGCAGGCACTCCAACATCTGCTGCAGAGGAGGATGAGCCTCAGAAGGAAGAACCTCCCTGTTCCGTGGGAGACAGGCACTTCCCTCACCTGGGTCTGGATGTCATCCCCCGTCACGATGTTACCCACTGCTCGCAGAGCTGGAGAGGCCACTTTGTAGTCGTTGTGGCTGCAGGAGAAACGGCACAAGGACAAAGCCAAGTCTATCAGCTCACACACAGGCAGAAGATTTTCTCCCCAGCAACTCATCTGCATTGTTTGCTGACAATCCCTCCCCCTAGCACACGGTAATACTGACATTGAAAACAAAGTCACAGAGCAGAGATTTTCATCCTAACTCCATCATCTTAAGATGGCTCAATTACAGATCTCACCTCTTACATACCCCCCTTTCCTGACCAAAAGATGATGTTAACCCAATGAGAACACCCAGACTGTTTCAGGAGAATTTTGGAAGCAACTATCTCCCAGCTCTGAAGCTCTTAGAGGCTCATTCCAACATTTTATCGAAGTTCCCATATAGGGATCAGAGCAGCAAAGCCAAGCTGATTTTTGGTAGACACTCTTTTTACTACCTGTGGATCTGCCTAGGAACTGGCCTTCCGTAAGCACGTTTGAAGGTTGACAGCGCAAGACACACTGCAGTCCTCTCTCCTTTCACACCTTAGAAGCATCATTCCAACCTCTCTTTAGCAAGTTTATCCCAGCTCACAGGAGGAACCCAGCTTCTCTCAGAAAGAAAAGACAGGAGACTACAGCTCTCAACCTGCTTCAGACCCTCCTATGTCATCACTGCTCTGAAGTCAGCTACAGCACCCACTACCTGGATCCTAAGCACACAGGAAGTGTGAAGGGTGCTCTGATGGGCTTTGACATGAACTGAGGTTCAGGCACATGCTTCCCATTCTCACTGGGCTGAAGCAGCAAGACAAGATACGCACATTAAGAGCTCCACCAGTCGCCGACACACTCCCGAGTCAATAACTGCTTGGATTTTCTCGTTGGGACCATCTGATAGGTAGGAAAGAGCCCAGCAGGCATCTGCCAGCAGGTCAGAGTCACTGCTGAACAACAACCGGACAACACTGGCAGGCAGGGAGACACCTACAACAACAGCCACCACCCCAGGTTAGTCACACTGTGGCCAGGACCACCACGTTTGCATGCAAAGCACCACGTGCTTGTGCTGACCAGCAAGATAACAAGGCTTGGATGTCCACTGTTTCCTCTCCTAGAGTCAGCAGCTTCCTTGTTGGTTCACACAGCTTATCATCAGGGTCTGAAGTTACTTCAGCACTGTTATTGCTAAAGTGAAATTACATCCCTTCCTCTAGGACCAAGTCTGGACTCCTGCTCACTCTGTTCTGTCAGGCACTACAGTGAGGGCACAGCACAAACATCTGGTCTCTGCTCCCACAGCCAAAGGGCCAGGATTTAGAGCTGGTGCTGGGCATACTAAGCACATAGCATTGCAGTGTTAGCACATACATTGCAATCTGTCCTCGATTTCATACCTGAAACCCCATTTGAATCCAACAACTCCGGCAGTCACTCTGGTCTGTCAGGCAGCACAGTGAAGCACGAAGGTTTCAACTCTGCTTCCACTGCCGAAGAGCCAGGAGGGGGAGCTGGCGCTGGAAATCTTCACACATTCAGCTTTGCAGCTGTGCCACTGACATTGCTGTCTCTCCTCCATTTCATACCTAAAACCCCGTTTGTAGCCAAGCTCTCCGGGGGTCTCTCTGGGCTGCCTGGAACAGAGTGGCTGAAGCACGAACGTTTGTCCTCTGCTCCTGCAGCCGAAGAGCCAGGAGGGAAAGCTGCTGCCAGGACTCTTCAGCACACAGTCAGCTTTTCAGCATTAGCTTTTACATTACAGTGTCTCCTCGATTTCATACCTGAAACCCTATTTGAATCTACCCACTGCCGTGGTCACTCTGGTCTGCCAGACAGCACTGTGACTGCAGCACGAATGTTTGCCCTGTGTTCCCACAGCCAAAGAGCCAGGAGTGAAAGCTGCTGCTGGGCATACTCAGCACCCAGTCAGCTTTACAGCATTAGCACTTACATTACAGTGTCTCCTCGATTACATACCTAAAACCCCATTTGAATCTATCCACTGCTGTGGTCACTCTGGCCTGCCAGGCATCACTGTGACTGCAGCACGAATGTTTGCCCGGTGTTCCCACAGCCAAAGACCCAGGAGTGAAAGCTGGTGCTGGGCATACTAAGCACATAGCATTGCAGTGTTAGCACATACATTGCAATCTGTCCTCGATTTCATACCTAAAACACCATTTGAATCCAACCACTCCGGCAGTCACTCTGGTCTGTCAGGCAGCACAGTGTGGGCAGCACAAACGTCTGAGCTCTGCTCCCACAGCCAAAGAGCCAGGAGTTAAATCTGTTGCCGGGAATCTTCAGCACACAGTGAGCTTTTCAAGGGTGTCACCATCATTGCACTTGCTCCTCACTTCCATAAATAAAAGTCCACTTGAATCATACCTGTCAGGAGCTTGCTCTCTGCTGCCATGCAGCGTGACTGCAGCACGAATGTTTGCCCTGTGTTCCCACAGCGAAAGACCCAGGAGTGAAAGCTGGTGCTGGGCATACTAAGCACATAGCATTGCAGCGTTAACACATACATTGCAATCTGTCCTCGATTTCATACCTAAAACCCCATTTGAATCCAACCACTCCCGTGCTCACTCTGTTCTGTCAGGCACTACAGTGAGGGCACAGCACGAACGTCTGAGCTCTGCTCCCACAGCCAAAGAGCCGGGAGTTAAAGCTGCTGCTGGGAATCTTCCCAACACACTGAGATTTTCAACGGTGTCTTCATCATCATTGCAGTTGCTCCTCACTTTCAAACCTAAAAGTCCATTTGAATCCAACCTCTCCGGTGATCTCTCTGGGCTGCCAGGCAGCACAGTGAAGCACGAAGGTTTCAACTCTGCTTCCACTGCCGAAGAGCCAGGAGGGGGAGCTGGCGCTGGAAATCTTCACACATTCAGCTTTGCAGCTGTGCCACTGACATTGCTGTCTCTCCTCCATTTCATACCTAAAACCCCGTTTGAAGCCAAGCTCTCCGGGGGTCTCTCTGGGCTGCCTGGAACAGAGTGACTGAAGCACGAACGTTTGTCCTCTGCTCCTGCAGCCGAACGGCCAGGAGGGAAAGCTGCTGCTGGGACTCTTCAGCACACAGTCAGCTTTTCAGCATTAGCTTTTACATTACAGTGTCTCCTCGATTTCATACCTGAAACCCTATTTGAATCTACCCACTGCCGTGGTCACTCTGGTCTGCCAGGCAGCACTGTGACTGCAGCACGAATGTTTGCCCTGTGTTCCCACAGCCAAAGAGCCAGGAGTGAAAGCTGCTGCTGGGCATACTCAGCACACAGTCAGCTTTCCAGCGGTGTCACCATCATTGCACTTGCTCCTCAATTTCATTCCTAAAAGTCCACTTGAATCGCACCTCTCCGGAGCTTGCTCTCAGCTGCCAAGCAGCAGGGTGAGTGAAGCACGAACCTCTTAGCTCTGCGTTCCCACAGCCGAAGAGCTAGGAGGGAAAGCTGGTGCTGGGCATACTAAGCACATAGCATTGCAGTGTTAGCACATACATTGCAATCTGTCCTCGATTTCATACCTAAAACCCCATTTGAATCCAACCACTCCGGCAGTCACTCTGGTCTGTCAGGCAGCACAGTGTGGGCAGCACAAACGTCTGAGCTCTGCTCCCACAGCCAAAGAGCCAGGAGTTAAATCTGCTGCTGGAATCGTCAGCACACAGTGACCGTTTCAACGGTGTCACCATCATTGCACTTGCTCCTCACTTTTATAACTAAAATTCCACCTGAATCGTACCTCTTAGGAGCTTGCTCTCTGTTGCCAAGCAGCAGAGTGTGTGAAGCACGAACGTCTGAGCTCTGCCGCCACAGCCGAAGAGGCAGGAGGCAAAGCAGGTGCTGGGCATACTAAGCACATAGCTTTGCAGCGTTAGCACATATATTGCAATCTGTCCTCGATTTCATACCTAAAACCCCATTTGAGTCCAACCACTCCCATGCTCACTCTGTTCTGTCAGGCACTACAGTGAGGGCACAGCACGAACGTCTGCTCTCTGCGAGCACCGGGTACTGAGAGCACCGGGTACTGAGAGCACTGGGTACTGAGAGCACTGGGTACTGAGAGCACTGGGATTTGAGAGCACCGGGCACTGAGAGCACTGGGTACTGAGAGCACCGCGTACTGAGAGCACCGGGCACTGAGAGCACTGGGTACTGAGAGCACCACGAACTCAGAGCACCGGGTACTGAGAGCAATTTGTACTCAGAGCACCGCGTACTGAGACCACTGTGCATGGAGAGCACCGGGTACTGAGAGAACCGCGTACTGAGGGCACTGGGAACTGAGAGCACCGGGTACTGAGAGCACCGGGTAAGAAGAGCACCGTGTACTGAGAGCACTGGGTACTGAGAGCACCTTGTACTGATAGCAGTGGGTAACGAGAGCACTGGGTACTGAGAGCACCGCGTACTGAGAGCACCGGGTACTGAGAGCAGTGGGTCCTGAGAGCAATGGTACACAGAGCACCGGGTTCTGAAGAGCACCGCGTATCGAGAGCACGGGGTACTGAGAGCACTAGGTACTGAGAGCACCGGCTAACTGAGAGCACCGGCTACTGAGAGCACCGGCTACTGAGAGCACCGGGTGAGGAGAGCGCCGCGTACTGAGAGCACCGGGTACAGAGAGCACCAGGGAAGACTGAGAGCACCGGGTACTGAGAGCACTGCGTACTGACAGCACTTGGTACTGAGAGCACTGGGAGAGCACCGGGTACTGAGAGCACCGGGTATTGAGAGCACGGGGTACTGAGAGCACCGGCTACTGAGAGCACCGGCTACTGAGAGCATCGGGTGAGGAGAGCACCGCGTACTGAGAGCACCGGGTACAGAGAGCACCAGGGAAGGAGAGCACTGGGTACTGAGAGCACTGGGTACTAAGAGCACTGGGTTCTGACAGCACTTGGTACTGAGAGCACTGGGAGAGCACTGGGTACTGAGAGCACCGGGTATTGAGACCAGCGGGTACTGAGAGCACTGGATAGTGAGAGCACCGCGTACTGAGAGCACTGGGTACTGAGGACACTGGGTACTCGGAGCACCGGGTAATGAGAGCACCGGGTACTGAGAGCACCGCGTACTGAGAGCACCGGGTACTGAGAGCACTGGTTACTGAGAGCACAGGGTAATGAGAGAGCACTGCGTTCTGAGAGCACCGGGTACTGGGCAGCCCCGGGTACTGAGAGCACAGTGTAGTGAGAGCGCTGGGTACTGAGAGCACCGGGTAGGAGAGCACCAGGTACTGAGACCACTGCGTACTAAGAGCACTTTGTACTAAGAGCACCGTGTGCTTAGAGCACCGCGTACTTAGAGCACCGGGTACTGAAAGCACTGGGTACTGAGAGCACTGTGTACGGAGAGCCCCAGGTGCTGAGAGCATCGTGCAATGGGAGCACTGGGAACTGAGAGTACCTGGAACTAAGAGCACTGGGTACTGAGAGAACTGGGTACGGAGAGAACCGTGTACTGAGAGCACCACGTGCTGAGAGCACAGGGTAGTGAGAGCACTGGGTACTGAGAGTACCAGGTACTGAGAGCACCGGTTAATAAGAGCACTGCGTACTGAGAGTACCGGATACTGAGAGCACCAGCTACTGAGAGCACTGGGTACGGAGAGTACCGCGTACGGAGAGCACCAGGTACTGAGGGCAGCGAGTAAGGAGGGCACCGTGTACTGAGAGTACCGGCTACTGAGAGCACCGGGTACCGAGAGCACCGTGTACTGAGAGCACTGTGTGCTGAGACCACCGGGAACTGAGAGCACCGGGCACTGAGAGCAATGCGTACTGAGAGCACCTGGCACTGAGAGCACGAGGTACTGAGAGCACTGGGTGCTGAGAGCACCTGGTACTGAGAGCACGGGGTACTGAGAGCACTGGGTACTGAGAGCACCGCGTACGGAGAGCACCGGGTACTGAGAGCAGCGGGTACTGAGAGCACTGGCTACTGAGAGTACCGCGTACTGAGAGC